TAGGATTGAATATATTGCAATTCTCACTATTGCTTTTTTCAATGGTAGCAACCTTTTTATTTGTGTATGAAAACTGTGGTTGTTGCTTAGAATCGGCATCGCATTCAATTTAAATTGGATTAAAGCGATAGGGCATCAAACATAATGCTCTAGACATGATGTTTGATGCTCGCGTGCTACAATTTTTATTACCGTTACAAATAACTAGGCTATCTGGCCATTAGTGTTGCAAACAGCTGGCAGACATAGCTATAGAGCTATGACCAGTCTCGTTTGTCCATAGCCTTGATGTTAAGACTGAGAAGACTGCACGTGCTCACCAAGAAACTGCTCGCTGGTGTCTTTCTGCTCACCTGACAAGTATTATATTAAGAACTACACTTAACAGTTTAATTAATAGCTTAAAGGGCTGATAAGGGATCGCCGAACATGCCAGCAATGCCGTGAGTCTTGAATGGACATTCTTAGTCTGCCGGTGAGGGGGAGGCATTTCGATTCTTCCTCAATACTTAGCTGCTTAATCATTGCGTGTTACTGTCATGTTCATGAGTGTCAGTATTGTGGAAACCCCTCCTCTTTAAGTTCACCCGCCTTGCTCGGCTTGTCATTTAAGTGGTTGTTCCTTTCGGCACAACAGTTCATCGTTTCTAGTCCGGAATAGTCTACTTAACACACCAACCTGTGGAGGCGAATATATACGTAGGAGAGGGGTAGTTCCGCTACGAGTTCAAGATGTTTAAAGAGTAACGGTACGATTGGTGTGTTAGTTCTATTGAAAAAAGAAACAGGGATTACAGTGCGATGTCTAAGATTCCAAAGTCTGTCATAGCCGCTCCCACCCCACTTCATGAGTTTGGGTTCATGGGCTGAAATGAATAGAGGATTCCCAGTATAGCTTCTGCTAACTCTGGGCATCTGTCGTGATGCAGGGTTACAAGAGGCAGTGTACGTTTAACCATGGCCGGACTTAAAGCCATGCTTTTCACGTACCATATTAAATCATTAACTTGAGACTTGGCGCCTTTGTTG